TTCTAGACTCATTTAAATTGTTTCTGGTTTCATGAGAATACGCACTGATACAATTTCATTTGTATTAAGTCTACTTGTCTGTACAAAGCCAAAAAAAGCCAAGTTTAAATGTGTTACAGACAGCCCAAGTCCATTTTTATAAATCCCTAAAAACTCACAACTTGTCCTTTAAAAACTCTCACAACTCAACAGCCAGGGAAAATGTCAACTAGTGTACAGTAAGCAGCTTACAAGAGAAAAGTCTTACAGCATGCTTGCTTACCATGCTCATGGGGAACAGACTGGCTTTCACGGTACTGCTATGGCTTCTTATAAAACCAGGAAGCACATCATATTATAAACTCACCATAATTGTATAGTTGCTAGAGAGCAATTTTATGAGCACCAATTCCTTCCCTTTTCCTACTGATTTCATTATTAGATTAGAAAGGTTCTCCACTAGAAAACATTGTGGTTCTAATTATATCTTCTTATTTCAAACTTTACTCTTTATTTTTTTAGTTTGGATAAAAATTCACAAACCACGATGTAAAACCGCAAAATGACATCATTTTTTTTTTTACTTATCCTAAAGACTTTCAATGTTTCAAGAAACAAAAGTATGCCCCAGCTGAACTTCAGAAGTACAATAATGAACAATTAGCCACAATGTACAAAAGTTCTCTCTAAAAGTCTTTATTAGCAACTAAATTCCAAGTTACCAGAATTGTATCTAAAAAGAAGTGGAGACAGAGACACACAAACAACGATTAAAAGAGAAGAACACATGAAAATAATGAGGTGCTACTATAACAACTTTAAGATTATGGATTTGGGTTCAACATTACACAGATGAATCTTGTTTTATTGGCTACCACATAGAATGTAAAACAGATATGTCTTAATTACTGAAAGCCTGCTCAGAAGAGGGAACCAATGAATTGGGTCATTATATTTGGCAAAAAAGGAGAGGAAAAAGTAAATGTATTCATCCATTCATCAGGTGGTTATTACATGCCTGCAGTTTCAAGGCACTGTGCCATGGCTTCAGGGGAATGCAAACAGGAGTCAGGCATCCCTGCCTCAAAAGAAAATACAACCCTTGTATGAGGACCTTGGTACACTCAGAAACACCGCCATTCCTCCCTCACGATAGAAAATTAAATAAAGGTTGGAAATTGCTTAAACATTTGCTTGTTTCCTTACTCTGCAGATAAGTAGATCTTGTGAGCTTCTGGCAATAATCATCCATGTGTTAAAATAAGCAATTGCATAGAGACGAAAGAATTTAGAAAGGAGAATTTGGTGCAGAGGGATGCTGGACCAGGCAGAGGAGAAGGGAGCTTTCTTTCTTAGCTGCAGAGATCTGAATAACTCTTTAATTGATAAAACTGTGGACTGTGTTCCTTTTTCTCATGGAATTTTGGCAATTAAATTTTTCAGTGGCTAAACTAATGTTGATAATAAAGTTTTAAAAGAGTGCATGTTTAGTATGTTGGTCACTCAGAGTTTATTCACAGGTTTCCAAAAGCTAACACTTGGTTGACTGTAAGTTCAAATTCCACTTGTGAAACAAAGCAATTCTTGAAAAAAATGTTTAAAAAGGCTATTGAATTTAAGAGATAAGATTATGTAATTTTCACACAAGTGAATAGGTTACTTTGTCCTCTGTACAGAACATGCGGGTCAGAAAAGTGGTCCAGCTTTGAATGTATACCAGTAAAATGGAGATTTACTCCCTACAGACTGTGGAGTACAAGAACACAAAGAGGATCAGCCTAACACAGGACAACACTTCAACGCCACAGGGAACTGAAAAAACACGTGACTTTTCTTTCTTATCCTCTTTAGGAGTCACAGTATAACAGCCAGGCTGAAAAGCTGTCATCTAATGCTAGGTTTAAAAGCTATGCCACTCCTGTTTTCAGGACGGAGGTTTTGTCTGGAGATAAGATACATCAGAAGAAAAGGCGGACATTGACAGTTGGAGCTGTCCCCAACAAAATGACTGACTTCTCGTCTCATTAACACTGTCTACCCACACTGGACCCAACTTCGGCACACTCACCTCTCTCTAGTCTGTTGAACATCATCTTACTGTATATTAAGGATACTTGAGGCATTTGAGGTAAATGTTTATTATATAAACATAGTGTCTAAATAAGCAAAGGAGCTAGATGATAAAAAAGTACAAGCATGAAATGGAATGTAACAAGATCAAAAAATTATCCACATGTGACACACAAGTAATATAGTTGAATAATTAAAACAAAACAATTGTTATTTGATGATGAGCATTCAGAAAAAAAATACGCTCTTAAATTTCAAATTATGACACCCAAATTTTGAAAGTGGTAGATAAACTTACAGGATTTTCTATGAAGCAAGAAAATGAAGGAAAAGGTGCCCCACAATGGGTGAGAGACAGAGATGCCATGCAGACAGCACTCAGGAGTTTTATTTGGTGGGGGGGATGAGAGAGGGGAGAGATAGATAGTTTTCTTCTATGGTCTTGTTGAAGATCTGGTCTATGCCATTGACCTGGGATCTGTCTCCTTCTTACCTAGTCATAAGTCAAGGATTTGGTCCTTGCACTGTGTCCCATAGTTTCTTCATGTATCTTCCTTGTGTGCTTTGTTTGGTCATTTTTTTTTTTTCATATTACTTGCCTGTGGGGTCTAATGCACCTACTTTATCTTTTAGTTTTGATATTTTATCTTAAATCATTCTACCTGTAAGACATTCCACTGAGTTTTCTAATTTAGTTATTGAGTTTTTCAATTTCATCTTAATTTCAGCTTGAGCTCTCTTCAATAATTTTGTCTCTTTATTGCAAATCTTGAAATATCTTCATCAATTTATTTGTCGTTCTTTGTGTTTTCTTTGACATCAGTCAGGCATTTATTGCCCTTCTTTTTAAGTTTATGAAATGTTTTGTCTTCTTTAATATCTCTGAATTCTTCGATGAAGGTCATGATTTTTCTGTGCAATTGATATTTCTCATTATCTACTGGATGCCATTTTTATGAGACTTGTAGATATGGGATGAAATATACTATAATGAATGGGGTATGGAACCCAGGCTAGGTATGGGATTTGGGAAGGTACAGGCAAATAAGGGTGTGGAAGGCTCATCAGACTGGATAGGAGCATAGGATGTGAAACCTTGGATAGGTCATGAAGTTTGAATGTTGTAGGCATGCTATGGTTAGGCTAGCTCTCAGGCTGTGCTGGTGCACAGGATCCAGAATGAATATACTCTAAAGTGATACTAGGTCCATCACTCTGACAACAGAACTATTAAAGCAATAGGCCTAAAGAGACTGTAATCCTCCATAGGAATCTCATACTGAGAGAATGAAAAGGTTGAGGCCTGGTACCAGAGAGATCCTGACTCTCTGAAAGAGATTTCACACATTTCTAAGAACTTAGTAGGCTACCCTGATGGAGAGATGGGGATAAAGATAGGTCAGTGGTGAACAGGATCACCACTTTGCTGAGACAGCTGCTATGCACATAACCCTGTCCCTCTAATCTCATTTCAGGACCCCAAAGGTAGACTGGAAGGGGATCACTGAGACTCTTTATCCTTTCCCCCAAAGTCTTCACATTGGGCAAGTCTTCTTCCTTATGCTTTTTATAATTAAAGACTATTCTGATTGCCTTCTCAAAGACAGGTGGCTGAACCAGGCTTCTGGAAGTACAGACTGTGACTCCAACGTCTGGTAATAGTTTCTACATTCCAGGTTTTACATTAGGATCTTTGATTCATGTTAAATAATTTTTGCTCAGAGTGAGATATGGATCTACTTTGTCTTTTTTATGTGTTTTCCCAGCACTTTTCATACAACTAAGAAATGGAACCAGCCTACATGTTGATCAACAGATGAATGGGTAAGGGAGATTACTACATATGCACAATGGAATTTCATTTGGCTGTAAAGAAAAACAAAACTATCAGGAAAACAGAAGAAACTTGAAACTGCATTAAGCAAAGTGGCCCAAACTCAGAAAGGTAAATATTGAATATTTTCACTCATATGTAGATTCTACATTATAATTTTTTATGTATGTGCAGATGTGTGTGTATCTATCTGTGTTATAAAACTGGAAAGGAGATCATGGAAAGGGCAAAAGAAGTCTTAAGGGAAACTTAATGGGAAAGAAAAAAAGTGAATAAACAGAATAAATGTGGTGTGTGAACAAAAGGTCATCTAAGGGAGAGAAGAGACAGAAGAGGTGGGAGAAGAGGGTAAGGGAGAGAAGTGGGAAGGGAGGATCAACCAAAAAAAGTAAGCATAAAAATGCCACCAGGAAACCTGCTACTCAGTATGCTAACTTTAAAACCAAAGAAATTAAAAATAATGAAGTGAAAAAGGAAAGCAACTTTATGTCAAAGAGCTTAGAGAATGTTTAAGTTAGGTGATAAGCCCTTTTGGTCAACAGTAAAAACTACAAATAAGAAAGGCAAAAGGAAGGAAGGAAGAAAGGAAGGAAGGAAGGAAGGAAGGAAGGAAGGAAGGAAGGAAGGAAGGAAGGAAGGAAGGAAGGAAGGGAGGGAGGAAGGAAGAAAAGAGAGATATTGCCTCATATTGTTTATGCTCGGTGTAAATATTTGGTCATTGTTATTTTTCAAGGTAACTGAAGTTTCAAAATTGTATCTTTCCTTGGTTTGTTACAGTTTTAAGAAAGAAATGACACAAATGAACATGCACAATATTTTGGCACAAGGGCTGGCAAGAAGACTCAAACAAAGTCTTGCTTCCAAGTCTGATGACGAGTTCAATCCCCAGGACTCATGTGGTGGAAGAAGAGAACTAACTTCTACAAGTTGTTCTCTGAGCTGCACACATGTGATGTGGCATGGACGGACACACACACACACACACACACACACACACACACACACACACACACGAAACAAATAAAAATGCGATAATTTCTTTAAATGAAACAATACAAAAGATCAAAAATTTAATGTTTTATTACTTAATGGTAGAGCAATATCAAACACATTTTACAACTATAAACAAGGTGTCTAGATAGTTATTCAAGTTGTTTTTAATATATTTTAATATATATTTATATATATAATTTAATATTTAAATTATATTTATGTTAAATTTAATATTTAATATATATTTAATATATTTTAATATGTTTTTAAGATATTGAAATGCCTTTAGAATATCTACATCCAGTACTCAAATAGTATTTTTTCTAACAAACTTTTATTGAGATGCGCTATAGATCTGAAAAAAAAAAAAAACAGTAGTGTGTAGACATTTGAAGGGAGAGAGTCTGTTCCTCTTGGAATCGGGCAGGGTCTGGAATGCAACAGCAGCATGGCCACTGCCAGCTCTCCTCAAGCCTCGGGTAAAGATGGCTCCCATTTTGGTTCAGCAGTGAAAACAGCAACAGTTCTTGCCTTTCCTGCTCTGCTGACACCTGTGATCTTCCAATAGTGACTCTGTGAAAAGCCTTGAATGGAATAAAGAAAAAAAAGAGATTTTCCTACTTTTAGGATTCATTTTTTTTTCTGACATTTTTGCTGCATGGACTTTATAAATGTTATTTGTTTTGAGTTAGGCAATAAATACCCAGTGCTGAAAAGCTGAACAATTCAAATGAGCCATTAAAGTAATTAATTTCATAGTGTTTTCCATTTTATGAGTTTAAAGCTTTCATGGAAAAACTGAACCTTATTTAAAAACATACTTTAAGTGGTCACATGGCTTTTACAACCTATACCTGTATTTTTGGTAGATGTCAATTATCCTTTGAACTTAGTAGCTTTTACTTTGGGATAAAATTCATGTTAATTATCTCTAAATTGTGATTTTTAACAATCATATTAGTGGCTAGAAAAAAAAATTAAGAGTTCCCACATGCTTTAACAAGGTAACATTACAGTTACTTAGAAAAACACCGTGATTAAAAGGAAGATAAATTAGAGGGCAGTTTCCAAATGGCAGCTTTTTGATACTGGAGTGGTATGAGGACAAAGTCAGAGGACTTTATAACACAGGTGTCTGCAAGGAGCTCATGAGCATTTCATGTGCCATGAGCAAGAGAGCTGCATGCTCATTATGGCGAGGTTCACAAAGAATCAAATGGCTCTGAGCTTTGCCATCTGTGCCTGTAATCCAGAAAATTACACCTGATGCAAAGTACAGTTTTAGAAACCCGTAATGTAATGGAAGCTATTCTAAAGGAGACAGCATGGGCTTTCTGGGGTGGTGTGTGCAGACTCAGCGTGGAATGGCCACACTACAGGGTTTCCTCAATTGGCACCCCCTTTCAAGTACATGCTCTTTTTCAGTTCCATGGCAAAGGCGTTTCCTGTAATGTATGCCACAGAGCTCATACTCCAGACTAAGAAATCACTATGGGTGATTTCATGACATACATCTGAATAATGGTCATTTGTCTAAGACCAAAGCTTTATAACTTCTATTATTTTATATTCTGTTCATAGCATCATATAGTATCATTATCTACAATTACTTTCATTACTGATGGATCTCTCTCTCTCTCTCTCTCTCTCTCTCTCTCTCTCTCTTTTTTTTTTTCTACATTAGGTTGTACTTCATTTCAGGGTGACATTCTTGAAGAGCTCACCACAAGGCATCATAATGTAATTATGTAAACTCAAACTGCTCTTGTTGGATCAAACAATATAATCAATGTATGTTAAGTTCAGGTCTGCCAGAGTCAGCTTTGCAAGAATAAAGGTTAGAATACCAACAGCAGTGGCAGGGCACAGAGCATGAAAGGAATCACTCAGTAGCAGTAGGTACTACGGTTTGTGCCACTAAGAGGGCTAAAGAGGTCTAGAGGCTCAGAGAAGTGGTAAAATTACATTGTTTGGGACTGTATATAATGGTGACTTCAGCTTGAGATATCTCAATGTAAAAGTACAGCTCTTATCTGTGGTGATACATTGTACACGCCAATAAAGCTCACTTGAAAATTGTGTACCCCAATAAAGCTTGCCTGGGGATCAGAGGACAGAGTCAGCCACTAAACTGGACATAGAGGTCACGCAGTGGTGGCACACACCTTTAATCCTATCACTCAGGAGGCAGATCTCTGTGAGTTTAAGGCCACATTGGGTTACACGAAATAGAACCAGGCAGTGGTGACACATGCCTTTTTAATCCCAGGAAGTAATGTGGCAGAACACAGAAAGGTATATAAGGCATGAGGAAACAGGAACTCTCTCTCTTGAGGCTGAGGATTTCATAGAGGTAAGCTAGTGGCTGGCTGTTCCACTTCTCTGATCTTTCAGGCAAGCTTTATTGGGGTACACAATACATCACCACACTTATCTCAAACAGGGCAAGGTTACTCTGGAGTCAAATATGAGTGATCATGGCCTGTGAACACAGGTTCGTGTTTCACAAAACACTGTCTTCCAACATGGTAGCAGCTTCTTGAAGTTCTGATTGTAACAAAACAGAGTCATAAGTCAGTATTATAAAATATATTTGTGGGAACATTAGGCAGGCTGTAGAAATGTGAGGAAATCTCTGCTATGGGCCTTGGATTCTATCTGATGACATTCTTAGCCTTCTGGTTGGTGGAAGTTAGTGGTCTCTTGAACACTGCCAATCGATTTACTTGATAGTCACAAGGATGGATATTAGGGAAACACAGTGGTGAGCAGTGATTGACCATAATTGAGGTTAAATGTAACCCAAATCACTTGGTTCTTGACCTGAGACATTCCAGCTCTCCCCAACCACAGAGGTTCTATTTGCTCTTTTCACCTTTGTGCTTTATGTAGGTTCTGGGAGTCAAACTCATGTCTTCAGTCTTGTGAGGCAAGCATCTTTATCTGCCAAGTCATCTTATAGGCCTATGACTGAGGAGGTTTTTTTTTCTCCTTTTTTTTGGGGTGGGGGGGGCTTTGGACAGGGTTTCTCTGTATCCTGGCTATCCTGGAACTCACTCTGTAGACCAGGCTAGCCTCGATCTCAGAGATCCATCTGTCTCTGCCTCCCAGGTACTGGGATTAACAGCATGTGCCACCACCACCACCCAGCTTCAATCTGTGTTGAAGAATCCTTAATACGGGTGTGTCTTTTTTTTTTTAATCAATCCATAGGTGAATTAATCAGTCAGAGAGTAGGGACATTAGTTTATGATGAAGATTTTTAAATAAAATTGTATAAGAAAGTGCTACTCACAGAGGAGTAAAATAATCTCATTGTAGGCAAAGAGCACAGCATACAGAGCTGATCCAGGAAGTCTCAGTGCAAAGCTGACTCCAGAGGCTCCTCAGAGTCTCAATATTAGGTGTTGGACTGGTTCCAGATTCTAGGGACAGGACAAGGAGTCAAGTAAAGTCAACTAGGACTCTACTGCCTTTAATATTTTAGGGATATTTTCAAGAAAGAAGTATAGAAACTGTGAATGTAAAACAGGATACGGATGTTATAGTAGGCTGGTGTCTTAGGGTTTTCATTACTGTGAAGAGACACCATGACTATGGCAACTCTTACAAAAAAAACACTGATTTGGGCTGGTTTACAGATTTGGAGTTTTAACCCATTATTGTCATGGTGAGATATGGTGTTCTGCAGGCAGACATGGTGCTGGAGGAGGTGCTGAGAGTTCTACATCTTGATCTGCAGGTAGCAAGAGAGATTGTTTACAGGGAGTAGCTTGAGCATATATGAGACCTCAAAATCCACCAAGACAGTGACACACTTCCTCCAGGAAGGGCACACCTCCTAACAGTGCCCCTTTCAATGGGCCACGTATTCAAACACATGAGCTTATGCAGGACATACCTATTCAAACCACCAGCAATGGCTACTACTATGGTGATATTTTATTTGTACTGAAATGTGATTTTAATTTTATGTTAATAAATAAAGTTGCCCTGGGGTCAGAGCTATTAGAGCCATAGCAAGAGCGTGGTGGTTAGAAGAGCTAGGTAGATTTCTGTGTGTTCAGGGATACAACCAGTATTGGAGA